TGGGAGAGCCTTTTTTACACAGTGATAGGGGTAACTGTTTCAAAGTAAGGGAGAGATATTCAGATTAGATATAAGAAAGGAATTGTGCCCTGTGAGGGGGATGAGGCCCTGGCCCAGGGTGCCCAGAGAAGCTGTGGCTGCCCCTGGATCCCTGCAAGTGTCCCAGGCCAGGCTGGACAGGGCTTGGAGCACCCTGGGACAGTGGAAGGTGTCCCTGCTCATGGAGCCTGGAACAAGATGAGCTTTAAGGTCCCTCCCAATGCAATGCATTCCACAATTCTGTCTCTTTAATTATACATTTACTGCAAAAAACTCTGTTAAGCTTCTCACCAGAAAATAAAAGATCCGCTGTTCTATCCATCTCCCTGCCTGTGATTTTCTGGAGTTCCAGGATTTCTTTCCAAGCCCACAGTAGTGGCCCCCAAACACTATTAGCATAATGAGAAAAAACATCACTGATCTTCATCACCTCCAAGAAAACATCAGTTCTCAAGCACACTGTCATGCAGCTGGGCTTTACTGGGTCCAGAGTTGTGCAGAGGAACAAAAATACTCCAGAAGTCAGATCTGTATTTCACATGCTTAAAAACTTCCACCTCCTTGGTGCTCCTGTTTGCCCCTGCAGGAATCCTCACTGGCTCCAGCAATGGCTCTTGCTTCCTGTGGCTGGAAGCCAATCTTCCATCCACAGAAGTGGCACACCCAGAAATAAAGGAGCTGATTGAGCTCTGCAGGCTCTCGCATGTGGGATGCAGCGGCCTGGATTGACCCTGTGCACAGCCAGGGATGGAGCACTGGGTGGGAAAGAGCTGTGTTTCTCAGGGAGCATGACTGCACCACAGCTCCTCTCTGTCCCTTCAAGCAGCTGCTGTCACCCTAAGGGAAGTTTGCAGGCTAGGTTCTCCCGGAGAAGGGATTTATCAGCTGTGTTTCCAGTGTCAGGATCCTGTTGGGGCTCCTCCTGCCCCAAGCTGCCTCACCTAGGTCTGCCCACACCCTTTGCTCACTTCTGTTTCAGAGCAGGGTCAGGAAAAGTAATCCTGAGCTGGGCAGTCATAGCTCTGTTTCCATCCCCTAGAGCTGGGTTATGGCCAAATTACAGAGCAACTAAGTAAGATTAAACTAAATGGAGGCAGATACTAATTAAGAAGAAAAAAGTGAAAGCTACTCATTTCCTCTTCAGAACTAATGAAAGTAAGCATTCCTTAAGCCCCCTCCCTCTCTGGAGGTTTTTGCTGACTCCTGTTCCCCTTTGGATGGATTCACGGTCACAGGCAGCCAGCGAAGCCATCAGACCACCGATGGCCCCGGACTGTTTTCATTCCCTGCTGTTTATAGCTTTAGTGAATAAAAGAAAACAGCAGACTGGGCCCGTGGCCAAGTGCAGCCTTCAGTTTCTCTGTGGGAGAAAGGCAGAGTGGGTGGGTATCTCTGAGGCAGTGTCAGCACAGCATATGCTGGGGGACAGCAGTGTGGAGAGCCCCCCACAGCTCTATCAGCCGAGATGCTGCTAGAGCTGTCAGCGTGAGGAGCTGTGAGAGCAGCTGGGATCCCCTCCTGTGTGCCCACCTGCAGAACACGAGCATCCCCACCCTGGGTACCCGGTGATTGAAGCACTCTTGGAAGGGGAATTCGACTCCCGGCTGTCTCATCCCCGCAGTGCTCATCGCTGTCTCCCCTTACAGCTCATTGTCTCAGGCAGGTGGGCTCCCGTGTGTGTCCAAGTGGTCTCTTGCTTTAAAGGCATCTTAGGTTACAGGAATTTTCTCTAATCAGTTCTGCTTCTCAGTTCCTTCTTGGCCTTGTGTGACATTTGTGTTTATATAATCTACCCAGAGAGCCTTTGAGTTGCATAGCAGTGCTGGTATGCTGTGCTCAGGGTTCTAAATGCCTGGATTGCTAAAAGGGAGAGTGCTGCGCATTCCCCTGATAATGCTGAGTGCACAAGCAGTGTTTCTAATGGCTATGAAGAATTAAGAACACTCCAGTTTCTTATGTGAGTTGGAACAGTTCGGTTTTCCCACTCAAATAAGCACTGCTCATCTAGGTCTAGGAGTGTTTCATCTTCCTTCCTCTCTTTGTGTTAAAAGGGCTCTACTCCAATCATAGATCAACAGCTCCAGGCTGCCTCTTCCTAAGCTCTTCCCCAAAACACCTCTTCCCAAAACACCTCAGACTCGTGGCTGTTTCACCTTCCACAGTGCTGAACAGCAGGTAAGGACACACCCTTGCTCTAAGGGTCAGAAGTGCCCCTGGATGTCTGCAGCGAGCCCCAGCAACTGCAGCTCACTTTAGGACTACTGTGATATTGATACATGCAATGAGAGAATTCTTCACCCTCTCCCAAGCACGCAGAGCTCAGTGCTTTGGAAAAGCAAGGGCTGGTTTTCAGCCTCCACCCTACCTTCGGGTACTGCTGCTATGGAGACAACACTGACTGAGCTACAGCATCCAACACACTCCCACAGCACTTGTGCAACCCTTAAATAACCCCATTTTCAGGGGCTGCTGCTAGCAGACTGCCAGTGCTCAGGTATGAAAATGAGCTCTTCCCTTGTGAACCTCCTAAAAACACCAGCTTAATCCCCAAAGGCCCAAAATCTGACCCTCTCTGGGTGAATTACTTCATTAGTGCCAGAATTTGGAGCTCAGCGAACGTGGTGAGGCTGTTCCTCTAGAGCTAAAGGCAGGTAGGTACCTGCTAATGAAAGGACACACCGAAAACCTCCTAGCAAATGCTCCTTTGCTCTCTGAGATGCAAATTTAAAAGGTCAGGTCCTTCAGGCAAAAACAAATGCTGCCATTTTCTAGAGGTTCAGCTCTGTTCTCATTATGGGACTGAAGAAATACCCTACCTAAAGGGCTGCTGCTTGAGCCCAAGTTATTTACTTAATGCACAGTGCCCTCCCTGTTTTTTCTCTGACCTTCAATTTTCATGAGGTCCTTTGTAAATGGGAGAACAGCAGGACAGAATGGGAATAGAAAGCATGTGTGTAACTGAGTAAAGTCTGGGGGGTTGAGAGCTTTAAACCAAGGGTGGTTAAAATAATTGATAGGACAAATGAAGTATCTGTGAACAGAAGAGCAATGTGCTCTGTCACTGCACTGAGAGGGACTGCTTGTCCCTTGCTGTCCCTCTTTTGATGCAAGGACAGCAAAGCTATGCCAGCCAGTGATATCCTTCAGCTGGAGATACTGGAGAATAACCATAGCCTTCCATCCTTTCAGAGATGAAGACAAAGCTGAAAGTTGAGCAGACCCTGCACAAAGGACTCCTGGAGAGACAAAGCTTTGTCACCTGAACCTTCTCTAGGAAAATACAGCAACAATCCTTCACCTTCCTGAAGGGAGCAGCTCCTGTAGCAAGGTATACCAGGGTTCCCTAAAACCCCTGTCACTCTATCCACCTTCCAGAGAAGCTCAGACAACTCTCAACATGCTCAGAAGTTTTTGTGCCTTTTTTTTTTCTTTTCCTTTCTGGTCCAAATAATCGTGACTGAATCAGATGGCTCCAGAGCCAGCCAAGATTACAGGGAAGTTGGCTGTGTGATGTGTCAGGATCTGGCTGCTGAATGGACTACACTTACATGACTAATTCCGGGTGGCCAAAACCATCCACACAAACACTTTGTATCTTCAAGTGTTCCTCCTACTTGGTGCCTCTCCCAGGGGGAAAGAAAAGGTTAAATTGTGAAAATAATGAATGGGAGGATTGCTGCAATACTTAACTAATTTGTAAAGCAAATTAATAACTCATGGTATTAAATAATTACTATTGCACATACCAGTGACAGAGTCTTCCAGTCCTAGGGACTGAAGAGACTGGGAAGCAAACAGAAGGATGAAAATACACAGGCTAAAAAAATCACTGGCCATGTAAGATGGAGAAACAAAGCAGTTCTGCTGGAGCATTAAAATGGGCCCAGAGCAGGCACTGCTGACGTGAGGAGAAGGGATGAGAATGGAAACTTTCACAGATGTAGGAAAGAGAAAAGTTTCTCCTCAGCAATAGTTTATATGTGCTGGTCCACACTGAATCTTGCTCAGAGTCAAGTGCCAGATTTTGCAAGGGAAGACGCTCTGCAGTACAAAAGGAGAGGGCTTGAGGCTTGAACCTGTTTTTTCTGTTCCCCTGGTCTGTCCCCTTACATCAGCAGTCGGTGCTGGGCTCTGTGGAGCTGTTTTGGGAGCTGAGCTGCAGCAGGAGCTGCAATAAATAACCCACACAGACATGCTCACTGAGGCGCAGCCTGCCCGCATCCAGGCTGCTAAATTTAGGTTCTTCCAGCAAAGGAGCATGTGCAAAGAGGCACAGAGCTGTCCTGTGAGCTGGAAAAAACTGAGAGGGTTTGCCCGGGTAATAACAGCATGCTTGGCATCAGAGGAGACCAAAGGTCCTGAGGATAAACACTTGAAGACATAATACATCTATCGCAAGGCTGGTTTCCCTCTGTCAGCCGTGTGATCATGTCCATGGCTGACCCCGGCAGGATCACATGGGGTTAAACTGAAGTCCCTTTGCCTGAAGGGTTTTGGCTTGAGGGCACTGCCATTTACCGGGGCGAAAGCAATACTCTAATGCAAAGAACCATCCTTACTGAAATCATGGCTGTTTGCCATGCAGAGTTCTTAGACAAGGGGTGAGGATGCTGAAGACCCAGAGAGGCGCGGTGGGAGCACAGGAGGCACGAAACAGATGAGAAATCCCCAGGAACAACACCGCGGGAGGAACAGGACTTCTTGCTCGAGGGTGTTGCTGCCTGTGTGGCTCCCCGCTCGGGTGTGCAGGCAGGAGTGAGAGACCAGAGCCTGCGGCCAGAGCCCCTCTGCTCCCGGGGACTTTTACAGGGAATGCCGGGCAGGGGGAAGCCGTCCCAGCCCTCCGTGTCAGCCCAAAAGTGCGGTCCGGGGTTACATCCCAAACGTGCAGAGCGAGCGAGGCTCCCCGGCAGCTTCTCCGTGCTCTGGATCCCAACCAACTGTTCAGGGATGGGCAGGGCAGGGCTGGATCTCCGCACGTCACTGCCGCGTGTCGCCAGGGCGGGGACTTTGCCAGCCGGGACAGCCACCGCAGCTCTCCGCAGCCGTGCCGGGGACCCGCGGGGGACACAGGTGAGTGCGAGGGGCCCGGGGCGCCATCCCCGCTGCGGGATCCCCATCGCTGCCGCATCGGGGCGGCCCGGCCCGGGCTGGCCAAGGACGGGGGGCAGCTGTGGGCTGGAGGAAGGGCTGACCTTCCCCGGGCACAGGCAGTGCGGGTTTTCGTTCCTATTTGTGCCATGGCCGGGCTGGCACGTCCTGGCCGCCGGAGCGCCGAGGGTGTGGCAGGGGGTGACGCGGCTCGCGGTTAGGCTGGATGAGGCGCACAAGAATCATATTTTTATTTCTTCTGAGGGCCGTGGCCAGATAAAGGTCACTGTGTGGGAGGCGCTGGGATACTTCAGTGCCTCGGGGTCGTGGCAGAGCCTTTCCTGAGCTGCGGGCTCGGAGCGCTGCGGAGAGCCCCAGCCCAGCCCCGGCAGCCGGGAGCGCAGCCGGGGCCGCGTCCCGCGCACCGCAGCCGCTGGCGCTGAGCGAGCCGGGAGAAGCTGATCCGCGCTGGGTGTGGGTTGTGTTTGGGTCAACGTGCACCCAATGAGGGAACTCGTCGGACGGGTGCAGTGTTTGCCTCGCAAGGAAAAGGCTCACAAAGCGGTGCGTTTCCATCCAGATCCGGGGTGCAGGACTGGCAGCGCTGCGAGCTCAAACTGGGAGGGGAAAAGCCCTGTGTTTGTATCCTCTCAGACTGTTGGAACTTTCCTTGCTGGTTCCTGTGTGTGTGTGTGTGCTCTGAGCACACTCAGGAAAACCTGACTGTGTGCAAGCCTAAACTTGAACTGGCCAGCACATGTGATAGTGTCAGCACTTTTCTGATAAATCAAGTTTATTCAGCTTTTAAAGGATATTTGATATGGGCTTAAAACAGGTTGTTTAGCTGATGATGGCTGCCAGGAAAAGATCATCCATGGAAAAAAAAAAAATCCAGTAATGGGAGGGATGCCTCCTACACTTGCACTCTGTCACCTGGGCACAGTGTTTTGAGCTTGTTCTCAGCCAGGTTTATTGTACCAGACCTTTATTCTGCGGTGAAGCAAATAACATCAGGACCGTAGCACTGGCTGGCTGACTCTTGCATGTGCAGTTTAATTCTTCAAAACACAGAGCGAAGTACTGTTCCTGTCCTGAAGCTGTTTTTCCCTGGTTGAGCTGCAGCACCAGGAATTGTGTTAAGCTGCTGAGCACCTCCCTTCTCTCTCTGCTTGCCCAAGGAGAGTTTCATTCATCTAAAGCCCCATCGTGAGCAGCTCCTGCAGACCCCTTCAGCTGTGAAAGGGTTACAGGGGCCACTGCCAGACAGCCTGGCTGAACTGCCGAGCTCTCCCACCTGGAACCTCAGTGGCTCATCCTCACACAGAAATGCACCAGGAACAAACCAGCACTTGCGGATTGAGCAGTGGGTCTGCCCTGCTGCCTTTCCAGTGCTCTGCTCTTTCAATTCCCAGTGGTGTTCCCAGGATGAAGAAATCGGAGTCCTGCAGTCAATATTCAGTGTGGTATTTCTGCTGTTAATGGATGTTGCGAGAGGATTCGCTCTGAGTGCAGTACATGCAGCCTCTCCTCATGGTTTGGTTTCCTTCTGCCAGCTCATTTGCCCTCAGAATTTCTCTGCTTCCCTTTCCCTTGCTACTGACCTTTATTTTGCCCTCTAATTGACTTGCTAAACCAGCCTGGCTGATATTCCTGCTTCACAAAAACAGCAGTGAAATTTGGAGCCTTCATTTATTGTCTGACTAAAGCAAATAAAATTGGCTTTTTACTTCTGTAAAAAGATTCAAGAAGAGCAAAGATGACTTTTCTGAGGTCTGGGTCATCCTGTGATCACTGGAATTCATGATCAGATGAAAGGAAACAAACTCAACACTAATAATTGCTGTATGTTGCCTGATTGCACAGGGAGTAGTAAGGTAGAGGTGCACCCAGGGGTGCCTGTGAGTAACAGGTCCGTGGCAAGTGGCACACAGAGTTACTGGCCTGAGCAGCTGCCCTGGGCATTCCAGGTCTGTAGCAGTCATGTGGAGCAGGAGCAAACACGCTCCTGATCTTGCACAACTGTCTGGGCTCAGGGCTGGCAGCACCACGAGGAGAACTAGGCAGAGATGTCATTCACTGCTGGCACCTCTGCTTCAGGGCTTTAGTGAGAGAACTCGCTCAACCCTGGAATAAAACCACACATTCGGTGGGTGGACTTGACTTGCTGTCACTGTTTTTGCATCTTTTGGATTTATTTTTTATTTAATTCAATTCCACTATATGTAGGTATCACTTTAAGTCTGCCTTTCCTAACTCATCTCCTGTGATGCTGTGATGAACTTGGGCTGTAGGGAAGTGAACCTTGTCCTGGTATATGACATCCTGTCAAGGGATCAGGGACACAGGAAAATTTGGGTGTGTTCATGCAAAGGCTCTCTGCAAACAAAATTATGAACAGAACTAATAACCCTGGGCAGATGGCAAGGAAGCTTTGGGGTTTTTCAAGGGTTCTGTCAGTTAAGACTACTGCCCTACAAGGAAGGACACAGTGCACCAAACTGAGGGGATGTTGAATATAAAATGTCCTATTAAAATATTAATAGGAGAAGTAATTCTCCTGCCCAGTGCTCAAGTGGGGTTATCCTTTGTGTGCTCACCTACACCAC